CCAAATCCCAAGGTTGCGCACGGAGCTTCACGTGCTTCACTTGTAAGACAATGCAACACAACTTTAGATTATCAAGATTCTCAGAAGTGTCATCTGTTCTCAGACTCTTCACTTGTCTGCTTCACTCTAATTCTAGCCAGTGTGTTCAATCTTGTCCGAGCCTCAAAACTTGCCAATGCTAGCGACAAAGGTAACTGAAAATTAATTTGGTTTGTGTAATTTATATCCAGATTTTAAAAATTGCTGTCTCTCCTGACAGCAACACCTCAATATTTCTAATGACCACTTTCATTCTTGAATACATATGGCTTCTGTTTGTGTCAACGGAATCAGTCTGCACCTTCAGGCTATCATTATGCAGCTAACAATTCAGGTGCATTTAAAAGAGTAACTTGAATTTTGCAAACTTCTACCTTTAAGGTACCCAACTACCAGTATTTTACCTGAGAGAACAATAACAAAGGTGTTTCAGTGGCATCTGTCACAGTTTGACAAAAAGTAAACTGAAAACATAGTTACAGAACCCATTCTCCAGGAGTTTTAACTTTGTTAGCTTTAATACTTTTGGAAGCACAAGACAAAAGGCAGGAACCCAACTATAACCCTTTTGTAACAATTTATTATTTTATCACACACCTAAGAGCTGCTGCATAAAGTTTTTAACAGTGATTGACTTTTGTCCATTGCAACTTGTAGCTGGTTTGACACTCGTCTCAAGTCACCATATACACCAACACAAACATCGCCATGTCAGAGAATTACCTAAGGGAGGGATGCCGTGCAGTGGTTAGAGCACAGGACTGGAAATAGTTCAGGTTCCATTCTTGGCTCTGCCACTGACTTGCCGTGTGACTTCAGACAAGTCAGTTAATTGCTCAGATTTCCCCATCTGTAAAATGTGGAAAGCACTTCTTATCTACCTCACCTGTGTGAAGTGAGTGTTCATGTCTGTAAAGCTGAAGAGATTTTTCTTTTTTTTTATGAAAGGCAACAAAAAATTGTGAACCCAGAATTCTAGCCTAAAATTCTAACAGACAATCCAAAATCTTCACAGTTAATTAAATCGCAGAAGTATTTAGAAATGTGTCAATAGATATACCAATGACTGTTACTGGAGACTCTTAGCAGGAATTACACAACACTGAACAAACACAGACTTTCAGGCTAAAAAAGAAATACTAGCTGTGACGTGACCTTCGAGAGGAAGATAATTTCCCCTTTTCTCTCACTCATGGAACAAAATAGAACAAGTTGCAACAGAAGATATTTTCCAGAAAGCAAACAAGATGAGCCAACACCTTTTTCTCCATTTCTAACCTCTAAACCTAGTAAACATCGACATTTGTATGCATAACACAAGATGCAGTGAGGAGTATGTTTCTCAAAGATGCTCTCCTCAGCAAAACTAAAGGACAAGTAAACTACTTGTATTTATTTTTGAAGTTACCACATATATTAGTATTGCCTCCATCACTTGAAATTGTGTGTTATTTCTCCACAAACAAATGTGAGAAGGTACACAATACACAAAGCACACAGCAAAAAGGAAGGCAGAATGCATACACTGCTTATTATCAAGATATACAGGTACTGGAAAGATGTTTATGAAAAGTTACAGCTCAAAAAGAAACAGTGAAGTAAAATTTAGGACAGGATTACTGTGATGCTTACAAGTTTTCTGAAGCAGCAACTCCCAGTTTTTCACATCATAAAAGAAAGCATTTTTGCAAACATCTGATTTATATAAAAAATAATCTGGAAATAGCCATACAGTTCAGGAGTTTACTATTTTATTAAGTGTCATTTACGTAGAAAAGTAAAGAGAAACATCTTTATAAAATATTTTTAATCCTCCACCAGTATAACCAGCAGTGCAAGCAGGCAATGCGTTACCTACACCGGAAGTGTTCTGAACAGTGCGAAGTGGCAGAGAGAAATGGCTTTGAGTAGATAAGTGAATGCTGTAAGACCTAAACTAATCCTGAAGTAACATTCATGACTTTCTAGAGCGCTCTTCCTTGCCTACTTGCTGGAAGGACTTGCCTGTACCAATGAGGGTAATCTAGTATCTTATTCAGTCCATCCTGGCAACTGTGCAGAACGGTAATTGGGTGTTCTGAAGCAAATTTCAGAGGGAAGAGTTCCTTATAAATTTTGTCTCTTCACTTAAAGAGATCCAACCACAACTTTTGGCTAATCTTCCTTTGCAGTTAAATGAAATACAGCAGAGAATTTGTAAAGAGGTGCCTTATTTTGTTTTCAGTAACTAACTCTGCATTTTCTTGCCTTCTATGCATAGTTGTCACAACTGCCTCCTTTCAGGCCTCATCCAAGTTCTGTTCTATTATCACCTGAAAATTTGGTTTAACATTAGACAAAATATAAAATGTGTATTAAAACAATTTCATATTCAAGTTCCTGTGCACGCAACAAGGGCTATCTGGCAGACATCTTCACTAAGCTCCTGTAGCTTGCTGTGTGACTCTTTCAAGACAGCAGCTACGCAGCTGACAGAGCCGGTCAACGATTAAAGAAACTTTGCTGCTAAGAACTCTCACACCAAAATCCTTTGTAATCACCACATGCTGATGTGCTACTTTAATCCATACCCAGATTTGACTTTTTCCGCTCCCTTCATCTACTTGTAGCTTGCCTTTCCGAGACCTCTGTCTTTAAGGAAGAAACAGCCCACAGACTAGGGGAAACATGTCCAGAACATGGCCTAGCCACTAGAACTGTAATCGGATTCAGAGTTCTTACCTCCCCAGGTACCTCCTACTTGTGGAGTAGCAGATATAGGATGTATGGATGGATGAAAAGTTGGCTGCAAATCGAGCAGATCATTTGGCAGCTTCGAAGTGCTACAAAGAGAAATTAATACAACTCTTTAAACTACATTGCAGTTTTCAATACAAGGCAAATGCTAGCAACTGTCACCAGTAAGGAAAGCTTTGTTACAAACTGGTTGTCGCAAAATGGATAGAAGTAAGCCAAAATCAGAAAGTTTGGTGAACTTCCTATTTTCAGTTCTGTAGAAAAGTCATAATTTAGCAAGTTCTACGTTATGCCAAGAGACTTTTATCAAAGCTAAGACAGAAAGGCAGCGAGCTTTATCTTCCTTAGTCCAATACCAGGGCTAAAAAGCACGTTACGTTCAGCAATCTACAGCAACTTTTAAAATAACCTCATGAAAGCCCTACAGTATGACAAAGGCAGACAGAGAATGAACTCTAATGGGCTGCACCACCAAAATGTTACATCTAAATTCCACAACTCCTGTCTTTGCACTATCAACCACTGCTGAGAAACTGGCTTACATCTATCAGCTATTAAACAACTTTGGGGAGTCCAAAACATAAGCCTTGTAGCACTTGGTCACACATCAGTCATGTAAACAGAAACTCATTTAAATACACATTTTATATTATTCAAAACCAAACTGAGCCCTAGAAAAAAAAAATTAAAAAATAAATCACATGTAAGTGATGAGTGAAGTCTTAAATACATCTGCTGCAATAGTTTCAAGAGTCAAACTGGAAGAGTAAAACCCATGCTCTTGCAGAGAATTCATTTCATACTTCAAATTAGTCTTGGGGGAAAAAAAATATGGAGTACTGGTGTCCACCCAGAACTTTTTAGCACATGAAATGAACCAAAACTTGCACGTACAGCTGCTACTACGGACAGAAGCTACGTCACTGTGGCACCCAAGCATCTTTCAAAATGAGACTAGCAGCAACATCTTAGATCTCTGTCTTGCCAACCCAATCACTTGCATCATTCAGTTTTCACTATTCCTTTTCAACAGTGATTGAAATCACATGTCGCCACCACTGCTCCTATTGAACAGCAGCATGGTCTGGCACAGCCCTGTCATGTGAGCAGCAGAACCAAGATGATTTTTCAAGGCAAAGCTTGTTAGAGTTAATGATAGGTATTAATCAGACCCATTGCACCTAATAGCAAACAACTGAACTTATGACCCAACATATCCCCTTCATGGCAGCTCCTGCTGTAAGATCACTTCTTTGCTCATAGCAGTCATACTGCCAGCAACTGAATTTAAACACAGACAAACTAGCACTTGTTTTCTTAGAATAAAATGCTCTTGTCTTCACTATGTAGCATTTCTGGCTGTTTGAAGAAGCTTTATCAGATGTTTCTGTTTCAGACCTCTTAAGAAGCTAGTTCAAAGCATACACCCATTTCAAACATTTTGGCCTTGAAAAAGCAATTTAAAAGAAAATTTTTTTTCAAGGAAGTCTTTCAGTTACCAACACTGACAGATTCTCTAGCTCCTTCTATGCAATTTAGCTATTTTTCATGTATTGAGCGTCAAGTAATTTCCTACAACAGCTTTCCAACAGGGAAAGAAGGCTGTCAAAGTGCTGACTACTTTAAAAGAAGAGCAGATTCTTACATGAGCTCTAACAAAACAACTACGCAGTCCCTTAGGTTAGGATCAGACTCAGAGCAGAAACATGCCTTCAGAGCTACTTCCTTCTATACTGATAAAAGCACTGTACCTTCTGCTACTGCTTGATTTGACAGGCATTTTACAGAATGAAGATCACACCGACAGCTCCTGCTAGTTGAAGATCAGGATTAGTGTGCAGTGAGTACTCTTGCACTATCTTTACAAGTCCTTGCAGACAGACATGTTCCAGATACAACTCAAGACTGCAAAACCTGCCTCTCTTCTTTCAAACCCTGTTTCAGGCTTTCCTTTTTCTGAAAGTCTACCAAGAACAGTTGTTACTTTTCAAGATCTAGCAATGCAACATTAAATTCAGAACTACCTTTATGACCTCCCAAACTGAATTTTTATGTGACTTTCCCCAAATTAACGCGCAAGGTTCTTTGGGGGCAAAGCATGCATATTTCAAAGTTCCAACCGTCTGGCTCACCCACTGAGAACACCTACAAGGTGTGTTGGTGGCTGGTTCGTATCAGAAACTATTCTGCAAACGGATGGTGAAAACACACCTTTTATGTTATTTATGGAAACAGGATTATTTTTGCATCAATTTAAGAAGTGATGGTTTTGATTATCACATCACTAATGTACTCTACACCCAACAACCTTCCTCAATGTACACTCTGCAGCAGAAATTGAGAGGAAACCCTCACTGCAGTGCATCTCACAGCAAAGCAACACCATTAAGCATACCTGTTTGAAGAGCTAGGGGTAGAAAAAATATCAATGGCTGGTGTAGTCATTATGCTTCCTGCTGCAGTCGACACAGGAGAAGCTGCAGTGGTTAAAGAGGGATGAGGTTTCTTTGCGAGTTCTTTTAGACGTTGCTCCTGTTGGGAAAGTGAGCTGGCGTAAGAGATGCAGAAACAACACTTGCGTATATGACTTTGGAGGCAAGTAAAGCAGAACTACAGAATTTTTTCTTCTTTATTCCACGCACCAGTATCAGCTGCTTATAATTACAAGAGCCAGCGGTGCCACAAATCCTTCAGAAACTATTTTAACAAACCCTCCGCAAGTTGTACGGTGTACATACATCAGATTGTACTTCCAGCGCTTTGCCAACAGTACATGTTCAATATTAATAACTGTTTTTTACCCTTTGCTCCTTTAAGAATCCTAGTAAGGTATCAACAAGAACATAGGAAAAGTGTTTTCAGTTAAAAATTCTGCATGCCTACCTTTAAAGCTTTTAAGCGAGCCTGTTCTTCCTCTAGCGCTGCTTGTTTTTCCCTTTCATCAACTTTTGTAAGGGACAGGCCAGTGCTTGCAAGGGAAGAGACTGCATTGGAAAGGGTGGTAGCCCTAAAGTAATTGGACAGGAGAAGAGCTGGCTGTTAATACGTGGCACGTAACAGGAATGTCTAAAGAACACTTTGCTTGTATCCACCCAGTCTCCTCCTGAACTCTTCATAACATTGGTTATCGCTGTACAATACAAAGTGCTAAGTTTAAATGAGATACACCGTATCAACTGCAAGATGAAAACACCTGGAACTCATGCTACCTACTTTTATACCCTGGACTTTGGATTTTTCCCCCTTAAATGTTTCCTCTCCAAACTGCACCACAGAATTCATGTTTAAAGCCCGTGCTCTTTTCCTGTTTGCCTAAGACGGCGATATTTGTAGACGCATGGGAATCTGCGATATGATCTGGGCTCCAATTCAAAATGTTGCTAATTTAACAGGTTTAGTTAAGAAATTATCAATGCAACTACTATACCCCAGAGGAATCATTTGCAGTTTGTCATCAGGTTTAAGAGTGTGCAAAAAGATTTAAACCAAATACTTAAGTTTTAAACCAAACCAAAGTAATCTTACCAAAGAAAGCAAATATTCGGAAGAGTAGCTAACAAAAGATGCTAAGACCCAATATTGTCACTACCATTAAAAAAAGAACATATAAAATAGTACTGCCTTATTTTTTGAACATGCAATAAAGAAATGCTATTGAATTTGGAGGTCTTCTCCCCCAACATTCAGCGTTTTTAAATTTAAACAATGAAGATAGTTGCTAGAGGACTCCTCTACATTGCACTTCATGTTTTTGCAAGCACTCAAAATCTGTGAATACCTTTTACCATACATGTTATGGCATTAATCTCCAATTACTTTAAAAAATACATTCTTAATTCTGGGAGCACTTCCTTGCTTTTGACAGAAAAGGGATTACAGTTGAGACAGAGGAGTCTAAGGACATTAATAAATAAATGTTTCATACTTTACAGAAGTCTAATTATTAACATAAAATGAACACTTGCAGGCAGTAAATGAAAAAACCTTAAGTTTCTCTTCAGACGTTCAAGATTAGGTGTTGAAAGTCTAACTACTACACAAGGGATTCTACAGCAAGTGCTTGCAGCTCCCTAGATTCTAGTTCTGTTGACCTGGAAGAAGCTTAATTACTCAGCAAGAGAGATGATAACTTGCTATTCCATCATTGCTAATACAGTGTCTTCAACACAAGCCTACACAAACCTTAGTCTATAATGAAACCGAAAATAAATCGAAAATGGATTTAACATTCAATTCAACAATGGTTTAAAAGGACAAGGGCATAAGAACCTGCTTGCAGCTGTGGAATCTTTGATTTTCTTCCCTTCTAGAGAAGCTAAATGTTGTTCCAAAGCATCAAGAAGGCTACTCGGTGCCTGCAAAAAGAGACATTTGGGAACAGATCTGAAGAATCTAAGGCAAAGCAAATCAGTAGTTAAAAGACTTTCAGAGAATGCAACTGCAGGGCAACTGGTACAACAGTTCAGAATACTTATACTGCATCTTGGCATCCTGTACAAACTTAATTACTGAGAATATCAGGTGATGCACTCTCCTCACTACATTACTCTGTCATAATGACTCACCAGTAAGTACAAAATATGTCAAGAGATGTTAAAATTAACAGCTAGGAAACAGCAAGCAGACAATCAGAAGCAGTCAGTATTTCAAGAGACACTAAGAAAGAAATTGTACCTGAAGTCATTTCTACGTGCACACTCTGCAAGCCTTCACAATGATTTAAATGGGCATGCAGCCAAAAGCAAGCCTGCCAAAAGCCACAGCTTCGTATCATCATGTAAAAGTTTCATTATGTGAAGTCACAGATATAAATTGCATCTTCAAGCATACTCAGTTGAAGTATGACAGAAATGATCTGTAATATTTTACAATAGGATCACTGCATACAAAAGCCAGGCTCTGACAGAGGTTGGATTTAATCACCAACTTGGAAATAACTTGGTGACAATATACACAAGAAAGCATCAGCGAATGCCATAATGCCAAGTTTTTCTCATTATGCAACCCCCAAACAGACATGTACTGGCAAACACATAATAGGTTTACCTACCTGTGAGAGATCTGGTATGTCTCCTCTGTCAATTCCAACTTGCTGTAATAAAACAAATAAGCTTGAGAACCTGTTTGCTTTTGTTAAAGGCTGAGATGCTCAAAAAGCAAACATTAAGATGAAGTCATGTAAAAAGCACAAACCTGCCCATATACATTTTAAATCTCCACAATCTCAACTGTATAATGGTTGATTACAATAAATTCTTCTGTTAATGTATACACATTTGAAGTAGGTGTGTTACAGATATTTTAACAGATACAACCTTAGAAATAAAACAGAGTGAAATCAAGTGTTTCAGAACTAAGGCTAGAGAGGCTTGCCTATCCCACAACTTCCACAGTAAATTCTCAGACCTACTGACACCAAGCATATCTTTGCTAAAACAAAGCACCTTCAAAGTTTTGTAAAGAAGCTGTTTTCTAAAATGCAGATCAAACATATCCTGCTGCAGAACATCTTATATATTGTTACATTAGAAAGACTAATACCTTCAACTTCAGTTGATCGTGTTATCAGCTGAAGACAGCTGAAGGTAGTATCTTGGATAGAGATATTTGTCAGGGCAGACAGCAAGCCAAGCTTTACAAGCTTAATTGTTTGTTGAGGGAGATATGAATAATGAAGGAAAGCAAAATGAGAACATGGGTGCATCTCAACTGAGGAATTCCATACACTAGGACATCAATTCAGCAATGCTTCAGACACAAGAATGTAACAGACTAAATACAGTTTAAAAAAACCACAAACATTTTGCAGGGTAGCCGCTTCTTCCTCTAAACACACCTATAGCCAAGACATCTTTAAAAAAAAAAAATCCCATGTTCATCTACTTGTCTCAGATTCTTATTTGTGAAACTTATTTCATCCAAAACTTATGGCAGAATTGTGGGTTTCAAACCAGAATACAGCTAGAATCATAGAAAGTAACAGATCAGCATCAAGTTACTTAATTTGTTTAAAGCAAGGCTTTTCAAGGAAAGCTCCCAATTATTATGTAACCAAGGAAATTTTAAAACGCATTCTTTACACATCCTCCTAAAGTAAAAGATAAACCAGTAAGTATTTTGTACTCAGGTTTTTGAAATATATTGAAATACAGCCCTCAAATGAACTAATCACCAGGGTAGACTGACAAGACCACCCTTGATGGAACTGCAATGAGGCTGGAAGGAAGAAGTACCTGCTTTATGAGAAAATAAGCACTTCACAAACTGTTTCACATAAAGGGCAAAGTTTGGCCAACTAAAGTTTACCTCTGCAACTTTAAGGAACTCCGAGATCCGTGTCATTCTAGTGAGGAACTTTTTATATATATCAAGGCCTTCTTTGCACTGGTTCTTTTTCATATCAAAGTATTTTTCTATGAACAGTAAGAATACTTGCATTAAATATGAAATCAAGCATTCTGCAAAGGGTATGCAAAGTAAAAGCATATAGAACAAGACAAACAGAAAACACCTGCAGGTCTGTTTTATCACATTAACTGCAGAAGTCACTATGCCTAACTTGCACCAAATGGCAAAAGCTCCTTTGAACATGAGCTAACAATCACACACATGCAATTACACATCACCTTGCAGGTACCAGATCTCACAAAAGCATAACCACCCTGAAGAGGACAATTAAGTTTAAGAATAGGTCACCCAAAGAAATGTAAATTCATCCTCATAGGGGAGAAAAAAAAAAAAGGCAATTTTATAGTCTGGCAGTCAAACACCTATTCTATCCCAGTGACCACATATCAGGTAAGATTTTGATATTCTCTGCCAGTAATGCCTCTTGTTATGGTGTGGTCTGCAGCAAGGTGCAACTGATAACAAAACACTGGTGCCCAGAGTGAGAAGGTCCCGCTCTCCTTTTTGAAATAGCCCTTTCAAGTCCTGTTTCTATATTAAGCTTCACTCAAAACACGAGTGAAAGCAACTGCCTGCTAGTTGTTCTTACTGAGGGAAGAGAAGTAGACAGGGCTTCAGACTGGAAGCACGACTGTCCTTCACTGGCTAATTCTGGATCTCGCTTTCCATTTTGCAAGCATCGGGTAATAAGAGCAATCAGGTAGCTTGATCCCATCATAGAATACTATCAAGCCAAGCAAATCGACAGGTTACTTGAACTTAATTATTTTCCAGATTTGGGCTCCCCTGCATCTCCAGTGTGTGCAAGTGAAAGGGCTTGAACCCTGAATTTGTAATTCCCCTTAAACTGTAAGATATGCTCTAGAAACCTAAGCCAACCGATTATTTAACCAATCAACATTACAGTTTCAATACTCAAGCAACCACAGATGCTGTGACTGCAAATTTGTAACTGGCTATAACTTATTCCACTTAATAAGATACAAAATCTGATCTTGTTTCTTAAAGAAAAACACATCAATACCGTGATTCGGGTTTGCCATGCAGTTCAATGAGACAATAAGACCCCAACCCCCCACCCCACCCCCAGAAAACCCAGCAACAATGCAGTGCCAGAAAAAAAAAATTAAGGTAAGTAAATTTTGAACAGGCTTTGCTTTCAGAAATTTACACAACCCTGTATACAATGCAATGGAAAATTCAATTGGACAGAAAAACCTTGGAAATAAATCTGAATTGGAAATTACAGTAATATTCTGATGTTTTACCGTAAGGCTATTCCAACTTCTCAAAACAGAGCAGCTCTTTGCGATTGTTTACTGAGCTCCCTCCCCAGTTTAACATTGAAAAATGAGTTATATTTACCCAAGAGGTTAATAATCCCTTCGTTATATGCCGCAAACAGTCTAATGGCATCTTTGAAGAGAAGCATGAAGGCAGCATTAATTACACCATTTGTAAGCTCATTGCTATTGACCTAGGAAGATCAGAAAAAAGTTAATTTAACTGAATTGATCCCTCATTGGAAAACTTCTAGTTGAACTCCACTACTCTATCCCAAGGCATGCTTTCCAATCATCTCACTGGCTATTAGTGGAAAGCAGCAGCATAGCAAATCAACACAGGATCTCTCAGCACAGAATTAAATCATTTTGGCAGTCATTTTTGTTCACTAATGTTAATGTTCGCTAACATAACCAGAGGACAGAGAGCAGAAACAATCAACTTTTAAATGAATAAACAATTCTTACACAGTGTACACACATAACACTGCTTTAGCACAAAGCATTCTCGCCAGTGGGCATCATATTTCTTTTTACTGATTTCTTGGGGGTACACCAATGAATAGAACAATTTGTGCTCTTTAAGATGTGCAGATAACATGGAACCAGGTTCAAAACCTTTAATCCTGACCTATTTTACAAGCTTGTGCAGGTTTGTACAACAAAGTCAATGGTATGCTAGACATACACATGCTGCTAAACTTACATTGAAGTCAAGAAGTGCATCCATTTGATTTTGTATAATTGGTACAGTTTTTAGGAGTTTTTCTGTGCTCATTGTTCTCATCACTCCATCAGCCCTGTTGTGCAAAACAAAAGAAAATTCTTCACCTCAATTTCGAAGGCAGTTGTTAGTGAGAAACATGACATAGAAAATAAAACAGGTCATTGGAGAACATGTTTAAATCATTGCCATTCAAAGCAGGTATTTTGGTGTTTAGGAATGCTGTCTAGCCAATACAACTGTAACTAGAGTGTACTAAAGCAACACTTATTTGGCCAAAATCTGAATCCAAGGTGAATTTTTATTCAGAGGAAATGAAACTCATAGTGCTTAGAAATATAGCAGGGCTATGATGCATCATGTAGCCAAAAAAAAAATGCTCTGAAGGTTATTTCTGAAGCAAATTTCTACTTGCTCTTTTTCCAATCATCTGATTATTATTTCGTGTCAGTTTGCATGATTTTCTTTTCAACTAAAAGCAGTAAGAATGAACAAAGGTGGCAATACATTTTTCAAGTTTTTTCAGGAAGACGACAGAGACTACATGATGCTTCCTTTTAATGGCTGACTACCGATATTTGCTCGTTTATTAACTGTCCAGATTAAGTACACTTAAGATAAAAAAAAAATCCAAGAAAAGCAGCCACCAAGGAAGAGATTAAAACACCTCAGTAACAAGAAACAACTGCTTTCTGTAAGACAAATCAGACAGCCTTGCAGTTCATCAGTAAGCACACAGCAAACCAAATTTCCCCTGCAAGTGCAAATCTCACAGTGCACCTGCAAGGAAAAGGCTGTGGCTCCTCTCCAGACTGGAAGGCAATTGGGAACAGGCTGCTTCCAGCTTTCTACTCATGCTGTGTGCTCTCTCCTAACAGCAACTGCAATAAACCTAATGTGGCAGAGTGTGGGTGCAGAGCCCCTGAGAAAAACTGAGGCGTGGAAAACTGCCACCAGAGCAGTTATCCCTGCTGGCTCACAGAAGGACCTCCAGGCACATGCTGTGGGTTAAATAATTCACCTCATTAGACCTAAAACACCTGATTATGAAACAGTTGTGTATCTTTCTAGTGTGTATCTGCAGCCACCTGACCACTCACACATCGTCTATGTGGAAAAGGCTCAGTGTTTTGTGGTGTTGGGGCTCCAACCACCTCTGAGGGCAGAACGAGCAGGAGGAGCCCAAGAGTTTCCTTTTTACTTTGCCATCATGTTTCAAAACCAAATGGACTGTAGAGTATTAGCAAGGAAACCGAAGGGATCTGGACAGTATTCTCAGGCCAATTCCAAATGCCTTTGTAATGCTAATGCAAGATATCATTAGACAGCCCACTACGGCAGTTAACTCATTTAAGATGAGATTTTTGTGGGTTAAGAATCAGGCTTTTGGTATAAATTATCCCATATATGGATTATAAAGGATGACCAAACGTAAAACTAAAGTTATGTTTTTAAACTTTAAAAAGCACTGCATACAGAGATGATAGACAAAGTAAATTGGTACCTAGTCTCAACCAACCTATTTCTCTTAAAGGAGCTCACTTTCCAGGGAAACTTTAAATTCCTGTAGACAAACTCAGAATAGCATCTACCACAATTCTCTGTTAAAAGCATGAATTGCACTACTTTTACAAAGGTTGTAGACTTCACATAGACATTTTGGGACAAGAACAGAGAAACACCAGGAGAGACTGCACAGTGTTTCTCAGAACGCCTGTCATTTAACCATTCCAGAGCTAGAAGCACAGGTAAATTGCACAGTCCCGTGTACTACATGCAAGACTAAGTAACTTCGTGATGTATTGTGGAAGATTTGTCCAAACTTCTACTTTTTTGATACATACTTTGACACGTACCATTTTTCATTTCTTTACATTAAACTGTTAACGTTTACAGAAGTAAAATATTTTTGCAACATACATAACTGAGCAGTTGAGCCTTTGTGTGTCATGGGAGATACTCAACTGACAAAAGCAGACATTGCCATCTGTACTAGGTTGGAGCCAACACCGGTATTTTCCACTTGCATTACAGGACATAAGACAAAACGTCAAGCTAAGCAGAACAAAACACAGTCCTTACCCTCTTTTTACTTTTGTGAAGTCAAAAGCCACTTGTCTATAGGAAACTGCCTTCTCATTCAGATATCTACTATACCGTCTGATAAACGTTGACATGTCATAACCTAAAAAACAAGTTTCAGAAGCTTATTACCTACCTAGTCAATCAACAATTACTCTAAATTAACATTATTCTAAATAAAGACCAAGTTATTAACACAAGGCAGCTTGATAATAATTTTCCCTGATTTTATATAGTTAATCTGTGTCACGAAGAACCATGTATGTCATTGTCGTCACCATGTAAATCAACAGACATTACTGCAAATATCTCGAAAACATGAACTACATAGACGTTTACACTTCAAGTAAATTACTTCCAAAAGCAATACAAAGTATTTTTATGCAAGTTTTCTCATGCTGCGACAGAAATTGCTACCAAAAAAAATGAAATGACCCATTCAAAAGATGTTCACATCAACTCCACAACATGATCTCTCATTTACAAGGGAATAGAGAAAAGAGGCACTGAAGGAAACATGAGACATGACAGAAATTTTCTTACGTTAAGACAGTGGTGACAAAATATTTTGATAACTGTCAGTCTAAGAATACAGACCAAGAAAAAGATCTGTTCATAATCTACACCGAGACCACAGAAGTTACAACTCAATAAAATGAGGCAATTTGGTAGACTCTTGGTTATCACTGAGGTTTCTGTGCCCAGGCAACCACCCTGTGTGCCTGTTTTAGTATGTTTGGGGAAAAATCGGAAGCAATTATATAAAGTAGTACAGAAAGTAAGAAACCAGCTCAGGAGGCAACAGCTACATGTATGATTAGAACTGCAGCATAACAGTTTGGAAGGGTATTTCAGTTGAAAACCCTGAACCAGAGAGAAATTTGCCCACAGAATTTGTCTCAAAGATGATGAAATTGTCTTTGAACATTTTCCAAAAAAGTTAATTTATTTTTTTTTATACACAGTTCTTGTCTCACTGACATGCTGTATCTAATATATATATAATGCTTTTTTTAAAAAGTTTAACTTGCTAATCAAAATACACCTCTACAAATGGTGAAATCTCTTCAGAAACAGGAGGAATACTAAGTCAGATCTGTTTAACCAAGAAGGTTAGAAGCATTTATAAGTAAGCCTTTCCTAAAAGATGCAACAAATTCCTCCAGCAGACAGCTTCTGCCATGTCACAACAGCATTTTAAATTAAGAAATGCAGTCTGGGGTAAAACAGACAGAAAAATTACTTCTTAAACGACACGGCCCATTAGAGTTACCAAGTTGTAATTACTATCCCCCCCCAGCACACCACTAACTTTTAAAGGAAAAGATACCTTACCTTGCAATCCACTTTTGTCTAGGAAATTGCTCAAATTAAACAATGTGTTTCTGGACGCCAGATACTGGATAAAACGCTAGATAAAAGGAAAAATTTGAATGCTTTTATTACATTACCAATGAGCTGGAACTAAGGTAACAGCACTAGAAACTCTTTTTAGCCAGCTTATGAAACTCAGCTTTTATGCTTTAAGACTGGCTTTAAATCTGGAAACCATTACAAAAACTTAGCTGAACTCTCAAATGAAGCTAGTTATTTTTTATGTAAAAAAATATCTGAACAAATCAAAGTCACGTAGACATTGCATGACAGCCTCTGACTGAAAGACTTTATTTTAAGCCAGAATATGGAACTGGAAACTTCTGAAAAAATCCCCCCGAATATGTTTTCATTTTACATGCTCACAGCTACAGTGACTGCAATTTTGTAACAGTTGATTTCACTTTACCAATTAGCCAAAGCATCTTTGCTCAGCATACAACTCCTTAAATATGAAAATAAGGTGATAAACATGTTAGTTTGCTTATAAATCAAACATTAAACAAACATAAGAATCCATACGAAGCATTAACAGTATCACACTTAATACACCTCATTAGTTACACATAATTCTGAATTACGTTTCACAAAATTAATGATGCTATTTTCATCTTGTAAAGACATTTCAGATCACTTGTACCACATCTTAATTCAGTAGGAAAAACAATTGTCTTATGAACCATTGTATAGGAAGCTGCTACAAAAATTAATCAGTCACTTGCAATAACATTTAGACAGAGGAAAAAATAGTTCTGATTAATGCAATGTACTACTGAATTATTTTCATTAGCATAAATACATGAGTTACATAGAAAAAAGACTGGAAAAGAGTAAAGGCATTCAGTGCTGAGCTATAAATGAAATAAGCAAAAGCTGGAGGACCAAACACTTTCCCGTTTTTTACAAAAGGATTTACAGATTATCTATAAACTTCTAGACATTTTCATAAGCACTCAATTTCCACGTTCATTGTTCCAAGCACTATTTCTAGCTGTGAAAAGTTTCATCCTGAGCAGCAATCTTACCCTCATTACTTCTGTAACACATCTGGCAGTTTTATTCTTAAAATGGAAAGTATTTCAGACAACGATCCCATGAAATACCTTTCATTACTATGAAGAGCATTGATATCAGTTTAAAATTTATATGACTGAAAGCGCAAGCAGAGCAAAAGCATATAGCCTCTATTTCAGAAAGTGTCAATTATCCCAGCGATAATGCTTAAAGTCAACATGAGAAGTTTGCCCTCTTGTGGCTTGCTTAGCTTCAAAGAATAGATTTTCACCAAGACCAGAAATACGCTGAGGCTAACCTACAAGGTTTTTTTAAAACCTAAAACTTAAAACCCCCACAATCCAGCCAGTCAGCCAGAGGAAGTAGTTACATGACTTATAAGAACTCTGAATGCAACCTGAAATGAAAAAGTTTTGGTCCTCTCTGCAAAATCCTATTGTAATTTTCTAAAGCTATTGTAACTACTGTAACTTTCTAAAGCTATCCCTCTTAATTCCCAGATTCATATAGCTTACATTCTACTGACTGTTTGCAGTAAAAGGGAATGTTTAAGAAAGACTTAAAAGTATAGTTTTGGTTTTTTAAATGCAGAAAATTCAAGCTGCTGCTATGCTTGGCATTTCAAAAAATAAGACCCCATAGGAATTCCAGTTGTGGAACAAAACAAACATTCCTTTTTGTTTATTTGGGGTTTTGTTTGTTTAATTGTTCTACAGCATTTGTTGTTTAGCTGTTCACACTCAAAGCCAGCTCACAGGCACACGTTTGTCTTCACTGCAAAAGGTTAGGAGGTGACGGTGGAAGCCAGTTCAGAATAGTCATCTGGGAGAAAACACCATCCAGATTAGCTAGAGCATGAACCTAAAAAACACTTCCATTTTCAGCCTTCAGAATACCATTCAAGTTCATTTCTGTTGGCTTTGTTTGATTTATTAGAATAACACCACAAACAGAGGTACCTCCAGCACCCAGGACACTTATTTTTGATTCTAGATTTACCAGCTTTAAAGTAGAAACAAACTAAGAGGACAAACATATAACAAGACCTGTGTTCATGCAAAGTTAGACACAAAAATCTCACAAAGATAATTAGTGGAAGCATTTAGCTGACATGTATAGGAATGAAGTGCTGTAACTGTTCTCAGACATATTTTTTGTATTACCTCATTTCCATATACCATTAGATGATGGGTTGTGATGAGAGATTTGAAGACCACTACCCAGCTACTGTTGGTAGTTCTTTCAAACAAACTGTCTGCCAGTTGTGGGATGTTCACATTCATCTCATTTGTGCACTGGATTAAATCTGCAATACAGAATTTTTTGTTGGTATTATTATGAGTTCTGTGAAGATCAATAACATACAAAAGAAAGAGCAGTACACTCATTTTGTATAGTAATATTTTCCATGAAAAGTGAGGGGCTTTCCAGTAAAATACATAATCGTTTGAAAAGCACTACGGCACTGGTCTACCAGAACCTTGTAATACAACCTCTACACTGCTCACTGCCAAGATTCCAGGTCCTCAGTTGCCTTTGCAGTTGCCTTAGAAGGTCCTAGACCAGAAGTGCCATAATGACTCACACTATCTCTGACTAACAACTGCCAGCTTTCAAACATCTAAAGCATTAAACAATAAAATAATTCTTACACACTGCCATTTAATCAAGTTTTAACTGGAGGATTATGACTAGAATTAACTGTAACTTCAGATTTCTGGCCTCTTAATGGACCAGTAAACCCTTCTAGACATTGGCTCAATGGGGGTAATAAAAGATTCAAATATACAATGCAATCAGCATCTTCAAAAGGGCAAGGAAATGTTAAGTAAAAAAAGGAGCCTCTAGCTACAATGTCAGAAGTTGACAGATGAATTTAGTTAAAACACAGTGGGTTGTTAACTGAAAAGATGGTTAGGAGCACAGTAAACCCCAAGGTTGGCTAGTTAAAACAAAGCTATCCAGTTTTCCCTCAACCTGGATTTCTAGTAGACAGGATCTAGTGACTCTTCAAATAGTTGTTAAAAAAAGTTACTGTCTTTGTTCTAGATTTGCTACTGTCCCAACTGTATAACCAGGAAAAACTACACTTGCAATACAACCAATATAATCATATATAATCCAGTAACTTATTTCCACATGCCAATGAAGGAAACTATGATTTAAGATTACGATGCTATAGTGACCAATACAACAGGAGCAACTATATTAACACCCAAATGTGATAGAACACAGGTTGCCATCATTTAATATGAAGCTTAACTTAATTCAACATAGTACTGATGACATCTCACTACTATTCCCACCCCAAAAATAAAAGAGTAATTTTCACTCAAACTGCTAGCCCTGTCAAAGGCCAGATAGGCTTACACAAGTCTTGGTCCTTATTGAGCCTTATGCCTGCCTGTCTATGGGCTACTAAGACTAACTGGAAGCATCCGTTTAATCTGAAGCAAAACATTCAACCTTTGAAGTCAGTTTTATACCCGTGATTGCTATGAACAATCATTCGTCACAACGGACTCCTGAAAGACAGCAGCAGGTAAGCATGGCTACCACAAACTCAGAACCGGTGTGGTCAGAACTAAAAAAGCTGCTACTTACAACTTTAAGAATTAAAGGAAGCAAGCAGGAAATGATTTCCACATTCAAAATGTAATGAGACGGAGAGATTAGCCATTCCTTTATCTACAAGTAAAACTGTGATGATTACAGGCATTCATGACCTCATTTTTAAGTCACAGTTATCTATTACTGGATGATGATTTGGGGCTGTTAAGACAATGCTAGGATATTACTCAGCAAGAGACATGCTCTGAGCTGGATCATTAAAACCAAGCCCTGCAGCTTCTTGATCTTCAGGTCTTCCCACTAAGTAATAACACAAGCACTTTTGTGCAAGGCTATCTGGCAGGAACGCACATTAAATACAAAGGTATACACATCACAGGATGTCAAGTCATACATTTTGGCATAAGAGGTGCAAACGCATATTAGAAAGTGAGAACTTCTATTCCTAAATGCAAGATTTGCCAACTAGTCAGTGACAGAGAAAGAGGTGCCACAGGAAATCCACTCTCTAAAGTTACTAAAGAAAATTTTATCCGTTCTAGATGATACTTTGTGCTGGAAGAAATGTTTTCTAAAATGTCATTGGACTTCCAAATCACGTTTTGGTACCTGTTGCAGTGTGTGAAAGAACACAGGCTCTGTAACCCTGCAGAAAGTCATCCCTCACAGAACTGATGCGTGTTTATGTGAAAAGCACATGAATGAACTTGGGGGGGCGGGGGGAGAGAGGGCAGGCACATTAGGAAGGAGAACTAGTAGCCAACTGGGAGAGAACATAGGCAAGACCTGAAGCACACAGGCAAGTTTAGCCTTGAATGGAATTAAATTTGCAAATGCAAACAAGGGAGTCATTGTGATACCAGCTAGTACAAACTAAGTTTAGCAAAACATGAAGTTTCTTTCTCTACAAAATGCAGGTTGAACAACACAGATGCTCGATAATCTGGTATGTCCTGATACCCCAAAGTGCCTATATCACATACATTTCAGAAAAGTTACATCTGTCTAAAAGCTTCTTTGAAAGTATTCACATGAACGATGATAGTTAGGTAAAGAAATATTTGTACAGTTAAATCCAAATTAGGTCAGCAATTTTTGTGCTAACCATGAAGCAGCATAGCACAGACGCAGCAGAAGAGAAGCCAGTACTCTGCATCTCACACTGCTGCACTGCCTGTTCAGGAAGACTGTCACATGGAGTGTTTTCGCTTATTTATCCTATTCCCACAGACACCCTTCATTAAGGGAGAAGAACAAATATATAATTATTTTCACATCCTACACTTTACAGAACTAGTCTCACACCCACCTATGAAAATACTAGCTACATATTTAGAAACCTAAGTGCCCAAAGCAACATATCTCAAGACTGCTAGTTACTGGGTATGGTATGAGCAATACCACAGGCAGATATAAGGGGCAAGGCACTAAGGGGAATATCTTTAACCTTAGAAAAGAACAAAAAAAAGAAGCAATTTCAAGCAAACAAAAACAGGGGCAAGGCACTAAGGGGATTATCTTTAACCTCAGAAAAGAACAAAAAAAAAGAAGCAATTTCAAGCAAACAAAAAAGATTAACCCTTGGTGAAAGTGAGATGACCGCTTCATCTGGGAACTTCCTGTCACAGAACAGAAAGGGGAGGACTGAATACTTACCCCCATCAATACTACAGAAAGGAAAGTCACTCTCCCTATTGACTTTCTGCATTAATGCCCACAACGCCTCACAGCTGAAAAAGAAAGAAACTCTCCTGGGAAGCACAAACCACCTTCCCAACTCCAAAAGCTGCTACAACTTCCACAGCATAAGACTCACAACATACAGATATCAAATAATAAACATGGATTGTTGTTTCAAAGAGGGCAGCGGTTAGCAACAACAATTTTAAGGTAAGCTTGCAGCTGGCTGGGAGAGCTGTATGAGGGAAGCTGAGACAGCAATGAATGCACAGTCATAGCCACGGATGAACCTGGAGACAGCCCAGAGAAAGGCCACCAGGATGGCCAGGGCTTAGAGCACACAATGCACAAGCAGCAGTTGAAGTTGGGGGGTTTATCCCATCTGCAGAACAGAAGGCTAAAGGCAGGGAAGGGGAATATAAATGCTACTGTCACAGCCAGGTGTTTCTTAGAAGTTCACAGCAAAAGGATGAGAGGCAGCAGACATGCTGTGACAAGGGAAATTCTTATCAGTTGAAGAAATTTGAAATCTTCACAATGAACGTGGTCAAGCACTAGAGCCTGAAAGCAAACACAGCTCTTTTAAAGTTTGACAGCAGGGGTTGATTAGAGCCCCTCCTGAGGTCCCGTTCAACCTCAAGTAACCTACAACTGTATGTGTTGTCTATGGAAAGAGAAGGAGAAAAATGGAGACTGGCCAAAACAGAGAAGTGACTTAACACAGTAAGTTAAAGTCCAGAAGAGTAGTCCAACAGGAGTACATTTATAAAGATTTTAAAACCTTAGACCTTTTTAAGTGAAGAGACTTACATTTTGAAGAACTCCATTTACCTACTTACACTAAATCATACACCATTTTCAGCAGAGGTATCAAAACTAGATATTCCAAGAAAACAGTTCTAGTTTGTTTTTAACTAGAAGAAACTAAACCATATCTTTCTTTTTTTAACAGTTAAAATTTCTACTGCCAAGTGACTCACATAATTCAGTTCTGTTTGGGTTTACAGCATTTTTCCAACAATGCCAAGATTTTGCAAAGGATCATTACAAAGGTCTGGTCTTCAGACATTTCAGTAACATTGAGAATTTGCAATTGCGCCTGTATCAAAGGCATTACATTGCCTAACCCTACTGAAGTCAACTAGTACAAAACACGCAGTAAAATACTGTATAATACTCTGGGTAACAAAAAGAATGTATTTGCACTCCCAATTAAGATATCTACAGTCTTTACAACTGTTCAGCCTTCATTACAGGAAAGAACCAAATGATTCATTGCTTTAACCTATTGCCAGTTACTAGGTGAGAAAAGTACAAAGTTGAAAAGTTGAGTAAAAGTACAGCAAGACTGAAGATGCATACCCAAGAAACAAGAAGCAATCCTCTACACGAAGCAGCTACTACAAGGCTAAGATGTTGAAGTACAGCATACTCCACACTAGGCATGCAAGTGAGGGTCAGCCAACTCATGCCAAGTGATCATGTAAGTCTTGACCCATGGCAAACACGAGGCAGTCGGGCTACGAAATAGGGCATCAAAGGCATCTGCCACAAATTATCCTAGAGAACATGTTCCTTTCAGCATGTGCCTGTGGCCTAACTCCTTGTGCAGAACCTCGTCTGCACTAAGCAGCCTCCCAAGATGAAACTATGAAAAACTAGTTTACTTCCCCACAAAAAGAACCATCAGGTAAGCTGAACACATTTTATGAATTTCTTACCAGAATCTTACCCATATTAATTTGCTGTAAGATCATAAAAATCTGGCTTGAAAATAGCCTTTGCTAAGACTGTATGATTTGCAGTAACTTGAATGGTAAATTGAATGAACACAAGCCAGAATGACATAGTTCGTGTACTGATTATTTCCAATGGCTTAGCTATATTTTGAACAATATTTTGTACATAAGTATCAACCTGAACATATTTACAAGAACCAGATCTTCCAGGCCAGAAAGCATGCCCCACACCTCTAGGTACTCCAAAATAGGTCAAGCAACTGTGACAGATTCCCATCTTGCTACTGCTTTTTCATCTACTGTAACAGAGATGCTA